GTGAAACATACAAGTCTAAAATTACAATTTACTCCTATTATTATTACAAGTGGTTTCTCCACCGATGGGAAGAAGAGAGGAGGAGATTTGATATAATGGTAAAAAATCGTTTATTAATTTTATACATAATTTAGCATTGCCCGAACGGAAATGGGGTGGACGGCCGGCCGTGGTGGCCTCCACCATATTGATGATGAGTTCACTACTAATAAAGCCACTATTTATTTATAAAAGACTCCATATATAATTATTTGAGGCCTCAACTCAAATTAACTTAAAAAATCCTTGATCACTCTATAATTGTAGACATGGCCAAGGGTCGCGGACCCGACACAGACCTGACCGGGTTAAATCCGTTGACCACGGGTTTGGGACCAAACCGAATTTCAGACGGGCCATTTCAAAGTCATCAATTTCATGACCCGACCCAACGGGCCTGGGTCGGCCGTGTCGATGCCCCGTTTTCACATTTTATTCTTTTATTGTTTTTTTTAAAAGTGATGGACTCGGCCCGGTCAACTAGGTTATTGACCCAGCACGAGTATAGATCTGTGACTGGTCCAGGTCAGTGTTTTGGAGCCCGAAGGCTCGAGTTTTGGCCATGTCTATATAATTGTTTTTTTATTTTTATTTTTTCTTCCACTTTTTTCGAAAAGCATGCCATGTTGAGACATTCCCTTTATATTATAAAAAAAATAAAAACATAAAAAACATATATATATATATATATATATATATATATATATATATATAACTTATGTTCTAGAAACTTGGAAAAGGTCTACTAAGTCCATGTGCTACCATATAATTAATTAATACATATTTATTTATGTGCCTAAAAAGTAGAATCCCTTTTTGAGTTTTATACTTTTTGATTTCTTTTATTCTTTTTTTTTTTTTTTTNTAAAAATGTCAAAAGTCAAAATCCGTGATCACAGCTGCCATTTTTTTTTCTTATAAATTTACGGTTTTCACAGCTTTGTTTGTATAATTGCACAAAAAAAGCCTTCATTTTTCCAGAGAAAAGGACATTGTTGGTACAATAACGTAAATATGGAAAAATTGCATGTTTTTTCCATTAATATGTCAGTTGTGTTATGGAGTTTATTATTTCATGGTGGCGGTTTTGCCGTAAATGCCAGATGCCCACAAATTGGATTCAAACAACTATCGGGTTATGTTGAAGTTAGGCCCAGTAAGCCTCATCATTTTGATCATATTTCCATTTTTGTTGATTTTTTTCATTTTTTTTCCCTAATTAATTTGCCTATATATGGGAAATAATATATTCAGTTTACTAATATTTTTTTTATTTTTATTTTTTTATTTTAATTTCCTCAGAAGCTCATATGTTTTGGTTGCTTTACAAAAACTGTGCTCACAGTTCAACAAAGCCATTACCTACCATTCTCTGTCTAGCCGGAGGACCTGTCAGTAATTTTTAATGCCAAACAACATGTACATTTGTATTTAGGGAAATACTACGGTTCCGTTACGGAACCATTCCGTCGGGTTAGTAACCGTTAGATCAACTATCTCCGACGGTTACAAGATGATCTAACGTTTACAAACTCCGACAGAATAGTTCAGTAACGAGACCGTAGAATTTCCCTTTTATTTATACATCTAATTAATTTAATAAAGACACGTTCAATTAATCAATTAATTTATTTATTTATTAGGGTCTATCTGCAGTTGGGTTTAGCAATCTTGCAGAAGTTGGGCCAATGGATATATATTTGAATCCTAGAAATCAAACATGGCTGAAAAAAGCACACCTCCTGTTTGTGGTAACTAATTAATGTAACTTTTTTTTTTTATTTTGTATTGTTCACTAATTAATGTATTTTTTTCTATTGAATATTAATCTATATAAATGTTATTATTATTATTATTATTATTATTATTATTATTATTATTATTATTATTATTATTATTATTATTATATTGTTAATTTATGTAGGATAGTCCAGTTGGGACAGGTTATAGTTATGTGGAAGATCCAAAAGTGTTGGTTAAAACAGATGAGGCTGCTACAGATGATTTACTCAAAGTGCTGATTAATGTATTCAAAAGACTAAAAGATTTACAGAAAACCGAGCTTTATATTCAAGGGGAGTCTTATGGAGGAAAATTAGCTGTTACTTTGGGTTTATCAGCACTCGATGCTATCAAAGATGGAAGATTAAACGTCAATCGTCTCCGAGGTATACGACAAAAATTATTAGGATATTCACTTGTGAGTTGTCCCACGTCGTTTATATAGAGAAAATATGTCTAACTTTTAAGTATAATAATGCTACTCCTCCTTCCACCCACCAGTTGGTTTTGGGATGGTTGGTGCGCGCGCTTCACGGGCGTGGGACGACACCCGTTTTCTCCTGTTCCTTACACAAATCAATTATTAGCACGTAGAATTTTACATAATAATAATAATATAAAATCACAATTATAAGTGTCCTAATTAGTCATAAACATATGATCAGACATTAATTGGTTAAGTATAGTTTAATTTTTTGATGTATTGATGTTTTTTGGATTAATTAACAGGAGTTATAATGGGGTCTGCTTGGATATCACCAGGAGTTCAAGTGGTAAGTATATATTCCTACTGATCAATTTGAATTGAAAAATATTTGTTAATCTAATTAATTACAATTTATAATATAATTAAATTAATTAATCAGTAATCATGATTAACTAATTAATTAATGCAGCTTTCATGGGGTCCTGTATTAAGAGATGTCTCT